GAGGAACTACTGAAAACAAAACTGATGAGAAACCTTCATAACTCTGGACCATGGCCTCAATGTGTGTGTTATGTGTGTATATTCATCCACTTGCAAACATACACAGCTTGACAAAATAACAGTAAGTGCTTTCTGGGTAATATTATACTTGTTAAAAACATAAATTTAAGTCTAGAATAATTTTGCCCCAAATATTGTGGTATGAGGAAAAGAGATTGCCCCAAGTTATTTTAGGCTTGGCTTACACAAAAGGTAAAGGTAAAGGACCCCTGGACGGTTAAGTCCAGTCAAAGGCGACTATGGGGTGCAGCGTTCAACTTGCTTTTCAGGCCGAGGGAGCCGGCATTTCTCCACAGACAGCTTTCTGGGTCACGTGGCCAGCATGACTAAACCACTTCTGGCGCAATGGGACACTGTGACGGAAACCAGAGCACATGGAAACGCCGTTTACCTTCCCGCCACAGTGGTACCTATTTATCTACTTGCACTGGTGTGCTTTCAAACTGCTAAGTTGGCAGGATCTGGGACAGAGCAATGGGAGCTCACTCCATCGCACGGATTTGAACCGCTGACCTTCCAATCAGCAAGCCCAAGAGGCTCAGTGGTTTAGACCACAGCGCCACCCACTCCCTTTTTACACAGTTCAGTGCGTCTCCACACAATCCATCTGCAGCTGTATGACAGCTGTGGCATCATGGATGACATAACATGGGATCCAGCAGCAGTTGCGCAGAATTTGGGGATCCATGAGATCACACGTTGCATCCTTCCAGCAACCCAAGGCTGGTTGGTGGCATTGCCATGCCGGTGCCTCAGACCCATGTGAAATATGTACCGATTGTCCCTTTGAGTTAAAGTCATATGCTTGCTATGAGTTATTACGCCTTTGCTCAGAAGCTGACACCTGTGACTGAAAAGTGCTTTACACAATCACATTAGAGAGTAAGGAGATGGCGACCCTGGCAGACACGCAGGGAATAAGCACTGTGCCTTGTTGAAATCTGCCATTCTACCTTTTCCATTGGTGCTTAATTTAAGCAAATGTTCAGCAGTACACAGTGCCCCCTCCTCAAACTGCTTTCATGGAATATGGAATAGCCCTGGGGGACGTGCAAAGGTTTTTTTAAAAAACAACAACAAAACAAACAAACCTCTGAGCATGTGCAGGCTACCTGCCACTACCAAGCAACCACAATCTGCCCTCTCCTAACTAGTATTGTGGGATGAAGGTTTGTGATTTCTAGTCAGGCTAATATGTTGCATTGGGACGCGGGTGGCGCTGTGGGTTAAACCACAGAGCCTAGGACTTGCCGATCAGAAGGTCGGCGGTTCGAATCCCCGCGACGGGGTGAGCTCCCGTTGCTCGGTCCCTGCTCCTGCCAACCTAGCAGTTTGAAAGCACGTCAAAATGCAAGTAGATAAATAGGTACCACTCCGGTGGGAAGGTAAACGGCGTTTCCGTGTGCTGCTCTGGTTCGCCAGAAGCGGCTTAGTCATGCTGGCCACATGACCTGGAAGCTGTACGCCGGCTCCCTCGGCCAATAAAGCGAGATGAGTGCCGCAACCCCAGTCATCTGCAACTGGACCTTATGGTCAGGGGTCCCTTTACCTTTACCTTACCTAATATGTTGCTTTACATGGGCAAGGGCTGCAGCTCAGAGACAGAACAGTTACCTTGCATGCAAAAAGTCCTCAGTTCAACACCTGGCATCTGCAGGTACGGCTGAGAGAGACACCTGTCTGAATACCTGGAGAACCGCTGCCAATCTGTGTAGAACATGCCATCAACCGTCAGACTTGGAATATGCATCTTCCTTCCTACTCTGCTATCTGCTTTTAAAAACTGACTTGACACAGAGGCCGTATCTCTGAGCGGATATTTTTTTGAAAATACTCTATTTCAAATAAGGATCCATGTTTCCACCAGGTTTTTTTCAGACACTCTCCTTTCAATATGGGGTGAAAGTTATGCTTCTGCTGCCAGCAAATTCTGAGCTGTCTAAATAGTGGGGGTTGCAAACAGGAGCACACAGATCGCAGGCTTTGGAAATGGCAGTTTCTGATTTGCAGCGTGGGTTGATAAAGGAAAGGTGACTGAAGCAATGACAGTGCTGCGCAGTAACAAAACAACTGTCATCTAATACACTGATCCTCACTTCAAAAAAATTGTGGGAGGGGGGCAGATAACGCCATTCCCCAACTGTTCGTTCTTCTGAGGTTTCTCTACTCTTGACCTACTTGCAGGGCTGCAGACTTTTTTTCCTGCCAGAGCTCCTGTGCCTTTTGCTGAATGATGGACTGAACCTTTTCTCATAACTTTGTCTCGAACAAATGCTTTATCTGCCTCACATGGAAGCCATTCAGGCAGAGAGAGAGAGAGAGAGAGAGAGAGAGAGAGTATGAAATACTTTGGAACTGCCCTTCATTTTGAGAGGATATCAGAATTTGGCATGAGCCCATCTGCTCTGCAAAGCCATCTTCTCTCCTTAGTTCAAAGCTTAACATGAGTCAATAGTGTGATGCAGCAGCAAAAAAAGCTAATGCTATTCTGGGCTGCATCAACAGAAGTATAGTGTCCAGATCAAGGGAAGTAACAGTACCACTCTAGTCTGCCTTAGTCAGACCACACTTGGAATCCTGTGTCCAGTTCTGGGCACCACAATTTAAGAAGGATGTTGACAAGCTGGAACGTGTGCAGAGGAGGGCAGCTAGGATGATCAAGAGTCCGGAAACTAAGCCTTACGAGGAGTGCTTGAAGGAGCTGGGTGTGTTTAGCCTGGAAAAGAGGAGACTGAGAGGAGGTATGATAGCCATCTTCAAATATCTTAAGGACATGGAGGAAAGGAGCATGCTTGTTTCCTCCTGCTCTGGAGCAGGCACCCCCAAACTCGGCCCTCCAGATGATTTGGGACTACAACTCCCATCATCCCTAGCTAACAGGACCAGTGGTCAGGGATGATGGGAATTGTAGTCCTAAAAAACATCTAGAGGGCCGAGTTTGGGGGTGCCTGCTCTGGAGTGTAGGACTCAAACCAATGGCTTCAAGTTACAAGAAAGGAGATTCTGACTAAACACTCAGAAAAACGTGACCCGAAAGCTGTCTGCGGACAAACGGCGGCTCCCTCAGCCAGTAAAGAGTCATCCACGACTGGACTTAACGGTCAAGGTACCCCTGACCATTAGGTCCAGTTGCAGATGACTGGGGTTGCGGCACTCATCTCGCTTTATTGACCGAGGGAGCCAACGTACAGCTTCCAGGTCATGTGGCCAGCATGACTAAGCCGCTTCTGGCAAACCAGAGCAGTGCACGGAAACGCCGTTTACCTTCCCACCAGAGCGGTACCTATTTATCTACTTGCACTTTGACATCCTTTCAAACTGCTAGGTTGGCAGGAGCAGGGACCGAGCAACAGGAGCTCACCCTGTCGCAGGGATTCGAACTGCTGACCTTCTGATCGGCAAGTCCCAGGCTCTGTGGTTTAACCCACAGCGCCACCCACGTCCTTTACCTAAAGGGTGTAACTTACCCCGGGACATTCAAGGCCCAGTGAACAAACAACAGCCAGCCTACTTCAGAATAATTTAGCTGCGAATAATTCAATTATATAGTGGGTGACCCTATGAAGACTTTAGGCCTTTGCTGCTTTGCTCCAACCCAATGTGGAATGTGTGGCCTACAGTTTTCCCCCGTGTTAAACTTTTGACCAGGCAACTTTAAAACGGGCTCTTCCTCCTTTTCAAGGGGGCATCATCTTCTTCTTCTTCCTGCCTCTATCCCAGCTCCCCATCCCTGCGATTCCTTTTCTTCTCCAGCTCCCTCTCTCTGCACAGAGCCTGGCAGACAACAAAGCCCCCTCCCAGCTCCGATGACCTTTCTTGCCCAGAGTCACCGGCCAGTCTCGCTCTGGACGCGCAGCCGCGACAGCCGGCAGCCGAGGAGGCCGCTTGCATAACAAAGGCGGCCCTCCCCGCCGCGCCGGGGCTTGGCGTCCTCCTCGCCCCCCGCCCTGCGGCGGCGGCGGCGGCAGCCTATTTGCCTAACGTTTCCCAGCCCCTTCTATGTTTATCTTCTCATGCAAATGGAGCGCGGGAGGGAGAGAAGGGAGAGAAAGAAATCAGGAGGCCAGACAAGCGCAGAGAGAAAGCCTTAGAATCGCATGGCTGCTGCTTGCAAAAACATGCCCCGCACTCATATCTATATATGTGTACATATGCGTGTTCTTGCAGTAGTAATGTTTTAAGGTCTTGTTTGTCGACTTGTTCATACGCCCAATTTCTTTCTCTCTTTCCGCATCCACATGTACACGTGTACATAGATGAGTGTGTGTGTGTGTGTGCGTGCGTGTACATACAGCATGCACACAATATATGTATGTGTTTATGTAGACATACATATATAGAGAACACACACTATACATATGTAGGTGTATTCCTGTGCATGTATGTCTGTATGTGTCTCTGTATACACATACTTATGTATATTTCTTTATGTGTCTGCGTGCACGCTATTATGTATCTATGTATATGCATGCATGTGTCTGTATATACATATTACAGTGCTTTTTTTCTGGGGGGACGCACACCCCTAAACATTTTGTGCATTTACGTTTGGCCTCATTGAGGGGTAGTATATCAATACCAATAGAAAAATGAGAGTAATTCTTTGAGGGGGGAAAGCACTGTACATATAACACGCAAACATTTCATAGATTTTGTGTGCTCGCGGGCGCGCGCGCTATATTTATTTTCATTTGTGCGCGCGCGCCTGTAAACGCTATAATCTGCAAGCTATGGATCACCGGAGCCGGAAGATCGAAACAATAAGCAAAATAATCGGTTGGTGTTTTGATCTGCCGGCTCGGTGGATGCGCTAGACGAGGCTTGACTCTCTCGCGTCTTCTCCCCCCGTCCCTCCCCCTCCTAGTCTTTTATTTGGCCCGTTGCTATGGGTTACGGGATCAAGGCCGGTCGGCCGGCTCCTCTCCACCCCCCCTCCGTCTCCCTCCCCAACAACCAGCCTCCAGCAGCGCTTGGGCACATGGAGGGCGCGCGGAACGCAGCAGCAGCAGCAGCGTCCCCGGGAGGGGAGCGAGGGCGCGCGCTGCTGCTACTGCTGCTGAGCAAGCGCCCTGCACACGCCCGCACTTCAGCGCGCAACATTTGCTGCTGCTACTGCTGCTGCAAGGGGGGGGGTTAAAAAAAGGTCCAGCCATGTGGGTTGGAAGGGGGAGGCGGGGGATGGAAGAGTGGATCGAGGCCCTTGGAGGTAAGGAACCAGCAATCTTGTTACTCCAGGTGGTGCCCAGAGGAGCAAAGACTTTGGGGTGGGGTGCGGGATGGAGAGGCTTGTTGAGAACGAAGGCAGTCCTCGTTTGCCTCCTCGGGCAGATGGTTAGTAAAGAGATTTTTCCGTGCGGGTTTGTGTGCCTTAACAGCAACAAAAAGTTAGGCAGTGGAAATCAACTCAGGGGTGTTGCTAAGAAAGTCAACTGCCCCATCTTTATTTTTCTTTAAAAAAAAAAATCCACCTGGAGGAGGAGCAGCAACTAATCCGTGAGAAGGAAAGAAGTTATTGGAAAAGCGCTGCGATGGAGCGAATACTTGGGAAAGTTGGGTTTGTGGATGCCCGCCTGGTTTCGAAGTCGCAGGAGTCCAGCAGGGAAAGGGTTACTTTGCTTTTGGGAAGTTCGAGACACTCTCAGAAGGATACTCTCCCTCTCTGTGTTCACCCTCTCTAACCCCCCCCCCGCTGCCCTATTTGTAGTTGTGTATCTGGTATTTGCTGTTCGATGTAGAACCGGAGCGAGGCGATTTTTAAGGGAAGAGTAACATTTCAGGCAAAAGGAACTATTCTGTCCGATTGTTTCGGGTTTGTATCAAATTAATATGAAAGAGAGAGAGAGAGAGAGAGAGAGAGCGCACAAAATATACAGAAGCAGTAGCACTTCTGATTGTTTTCAAATAAATGATGTATAGAATTGTTTTTATAGATGCAGTGTACTCAAAAGGAGAGAAAAACAATATGGTATTTTATAAATGCTGATTTTCTCTCTCATAAGTCTGGAATTTTAGCCTTTGCTAAAAAGAAACTAAACTATTGGGACACTATACAATTTAAGCAAAGTTGGATGCATTGCTAAAGCAAGTGTTCCTTTTATGCGTGAAAACACTTAGTTTCCTATGAAGGAGAACACTTTTTTTTGGTTAATGTTTTTATAACTACCAGGAAGCAAAGGAGCTGAGTACTTTTTTAAAATTTACATTGGGGTGTGTGTGGAAAGACCCTAAACTGTTTATTTAAAATGAAAAATTGTGTATTGTTTCTTGTTTCCTGCAAAAGCTGAGTTGCTCCAAATACCAGGTTGTTGCAATATGTTTTCTGTAAGGTGTTGTGTATTATGCCAAAAAGTGTAAAATAAAAATAAAATAGTGCTCCTGCTACCAGTAGATACTGACAAAGAACAAAAATATTTTTTAGCTGTTAGCCTGCATGAAATAATGGATAAATATGAACTTTGGAAATACAACATTTTTTTCTCCTTTATATTTTGAATGTATACAAAAAGGGAAAGCATTACAAAATTAAAAGCTGGGAATTAATTGACATTAAAAGGGGGGGATGTTAATGATATATGATTAGAAAACAAAATATTATAGTAAATCTCATCATTAATACACTACAAATGTTAGCCAGAAGCAAGTCAGCACCCTGCATTTAGATAAAGAATACAATAATAAAATACTTACAGGATATTTTATTTTGAAATGTGACAAAATACAAACATTTTCTACACATATTAAAAAGGTAGAACACAGAAGAGTCAGCATGTAAATATTTCACTAATATTTGGTGTACAAAAAAAGAACATCACAGTTACAGTGTGAAAGGCAGCTGTCCAAGGTATAGGAAGCAACTAATACACAGTAACAATACAAAAGGTGAATTTGTGCAATGTGTGATAAAGCAAACAACACTCTGACCATAACAAATCCCAAACTCGAGACTGAATAAACTCTGAAATGATGCTCAGGCTGAAATAACTAAATATCAAAGGAGGAAATATCAAGTAAGTGCAATCACATCGATGTTGAGAGGTTTTTAGACTTGGTATCTTCGCAGACTACTAAATCTAAAGTGCACAAATTGCTTCAAATTAACAGTAATGAGCACAGCTATGTCATTTTAAAAAGTAAACAATGTCTTCTTCCAGTTCATTTTAGTCACTGCTGCAGTTTTCCTATTTAATGTCTGTTGCTAATTTTTCAGCAACAATTCCTATCACTGTATATTTAATGGCTCAAATTATTATTATTTTTCCAACAGCAGCCTAATTATGTATCTTGCTGCTTGCTCTCTTTCAGTGATTGGGCCCCTGGATATTTTTGTACAGTTCAACAAAAATATTATCTGCAAGACACTTAATGAAGTTTACCTTGTGCAAATGCTGACATCACATGCACACAAAAATCATTGGCTTGTGGTAGTTATCTGGCCTCCCCATTCCTATCCCCCAAACTCACCCTGGTCCTTAAAACACAACTGGAGTGTAATCCTATTCCTGACTACTCAGAAGTAAGGATCACAGAGTTCAGGGAGGTTTCCTCCCAGGTATGTAGGCACAGGATTTCAGCCTTACTAGATTTGAACACAACTTATGTCCTAATAAATGAAATTTTGGATGGAGTGCCAGTGAAGTTATAGTGAGGCTGTCAAAACATACACAAATTAATTTATGGCACTGCCAAGCTAGATACTTTAAACATCTGCAGTGATACAGTAAGCTTTCATCCAGAAGTTTATTTCTGTTACTCGCTGGTTAACGTGTTCCCTTCCTTCATCCTCCAGCAAGAACATTCACTTTAAAACAGTGTAAATATATATAGATAGAGGTCCATGTAACAGCACAGGTTTTTTAATGATAGGCCTCTTCACAAGACACGTGTTTCTTAGTCACGCACAAAAAAGTAAGACCTGTTGCCACGGTTAGGCAGGATTATACCAATATGTCTCAACTGGGGTTTATTGCCAGGTAGACTGCAGGACTGCAGCCTAACTGAACTCAATCTGGCTTACTTTTGAGTAGACATATACAGAACTGCACGGTCAAGCCTATTTAATTCAAGCGGCCTGTAACTGGCCATATAACATTGTACCCAAGCGGTCCCTTTCAAGGTGAAAGCTTAATAACGAAACATACTTTTCAGAAAACCCATTTGGTCATGTACTCCTCTGCTACCTTACGACTGAATGGCGTTTTGGTTTTCTGCGTTGCAGCTGAGTTACATAGTCAACACCACAGTAGAAAGACCACCACAGTATCACCATTTAAAATGCCAGATAAAAATATATTTTGTGGATTCCCAGAATGTTGATATTCCAGGGTTTCCCCACCCCCACCCCTTTCCTTTCCCTTACAGTGAACCCCACAGTATCACATTAAGAAATCTCATTGATTTAGGTGTTGTGGTGCAGACAGTATTTGTATCGTTCAATATAACAAAGGCTACAAAATGCATACATAGCAAATGAACAGGCTGTTTTGAAAACTGAGAAAAGGCATGCCTTGGAAGTTGGGTGCATGGTCTGTCTATGTCATCTGTAACTTTCAACCAAGATAGAAGGCGTGTATCTGTCATTGGAGTGATGGCAACACATAAATGATATTTCAGGGTTCTTCAGGAACTGTGTCTGTGCTTCCTTTACATCCATGGGAAATGTTATCATCACTGCTGTGTCCAAGCCCTGAGGATGAACTGCAGAGGGGGAAGAAGTGGGGGGGAGGGAGAGAAAGAAGAGAGAGGAAATTGGTTTTCACAACACACTCAAAGCCTGAGTAACAGAGGAGAACTTTAATTATCCCCAGTCACAAAAGAGAGACAGGAAATTTGGACTTTTAATTAGCCATTTGGAGTGCAGTTGGATATTTTTTTTAGCGAGATAATTTAAATGCGAATAATTCAAGTCTGACTAAATGAAATTCACATAATCAGAATGCAGATAATTGAATTTCTACTGCATTCATTAATTCAGTGTGGAGGTGTATGTGAAGACTTCTATGATGAGCTGTCACAGCTCAATAAAATCTCAGTCAATTAATTTTTTCATTATCTTAGCACTGCATCAACAACAACAAAAGTGAACTGTGTTTATTATCATATGTGCATGTTTAGCAAAATGTAAGGAAGTAACCTTTCGGAATCGGAGTCTGCATAATTCTCCTTTTTCCTCCCTTCGTCTTCTACAGGAAACCGTAGTTTCAAACAGGCAAACTCATGGATTGCGTCTTCAACGGAATATTTCGTGTGTCCAGATACACATGCCTCAATGTCCTCTGGGTTCAGCTGGGTTTGTACAAAGAGGTGAAGTCTACTGTCTGAAAGCAGAAGAGGATTCTGCAGAATCCTTTAAAAAAAATAAAGAGAAAAAATGAACCACCTTCCGATATCATTTTTTCAACATTGTCTTCCTTTTAAAAATATTTTTAACTTAACTTCCAATACAGTTTTGAATCCAGTATATATGTTGGCATGGTTGGATGTGTGCTTTTCTTTAATAAATTATTTGGAATTTTAGGTGAATAAAAGCATGGCACTAATAGTTTTGAACATCTGTTATAAGAATAATTCCAAGGGCATTTTTTTCCATTTAACCATCTGCTACTACCATGTGGATCAATTACTTTTTTGGCTGGGGCGAAAGGGCTGAAATAACATACTACTATGGAAACTGGTTCAGAATCAGTTACTTTGTATACACATCAAAAACATTACTAAGTGTAAGGCGCTGTAAGATTTGGACCTTCAAATGCCTCTGTAAAACAGCAATCATTTAATGCACAAATGCAAAAAAATATGTATTTTAAAGGTATGTACAAATTGAATGCCATGTGCAATTATTATCTACTGTTACACAGGTTGGGAAAGTAATTTGTGGTAGCTGGAGCAAGGGAACCTTACATTTCAGTGACTTTTTAAAATATAATTGCAATACACACATTTAAAATAAAAAACACTCAGTTCTGCATAAAATGTTTAATTCAACTAAATGTGCAATTAGCACAAACTGTATTAAACAGTAACAGCATTCTCCCCCTCCCTGGCAGAACTAATCTGGTTTTTGCAAAACATTTTTGAAAATGCAAGTGGATTGCTCCCAGTAACTGGAGAATTAGGTCCTTAAAATACTACACAGATAAGCTTAGCTGTTTTAATAAATAGTTCATAGCATCCAGCCCCCAACTTTCATTTCTGAAACCAATCAAAGTAAACAATTTTCTCTAAGGGACCATTCATTCAGTATGGCCAACTAAAGCCATCCCTTGCCTGCCCCACGGAAGGTTAGCATAAAAGCACATTCTGATTGTCTCAAGTGTCATTTGGCCATTAAAACTAGACAATGTTATTAAAATCTTTTCTCAGAAGGGTCCAGTACTTCATACTGTATAATACGTCTTAAGCAAAAGCCTATCGAGTCAATAAATAGGCTAGGCCTGGAAATCTACAGTATTAATTATTATGAGGATTAAAGAAGGAAGTAGGATGGTTCCAGTGTCAGGTGAATAAAAGGAAGTGAGATGGTCAAGCCAAAATCAGTTATGTCTACCTGAAACAAAACGGGGGTGCCTATATATTTATCTGGAAAAAAGGGGATGGTCACCCACTAAACTTTGAGTGCCGTATACTGAACAAAGATTTCAAATACTGCATTCAGACAGGTTAAGAATGCCTGTATATATATCAGCTGTCCATAAACACCAATGGATTAGGGTTCAATGCCCTGTGGCGAAATCCTGCGCACAGCACAATCTTAACTACGTCTACTCGGAAGGCCTACTGAATTCAGTGGGCCTTACCCACAGGTAAGTGGAGTTAGGAATGCAACCGAAGAGGATAATTATAGTCAACAGTAGATCCAATGAAATGACCAAACTTAAAAGTCACGGCTGACTTTAAGTCCGTTGTTTTCAATGGGTCTGCTCAGAGTGCAACTAAACCTTTGGCCATCAATATGCCACACGTTATTTGAGCACTTTCAACTGCAATGAGGCAGGGGAGATATGAAGAATTAAGCAAATATTCTCCGGCTTGCTATTACCCTCCTAACGGTGAGTGAAGCAGCCTTTTTCTACCCGCAACTATCCAAACAACAGCAAATCTCCAAAAACCCCACTTGCTATGAGGTGCAGTGGTTAGCGTTGGACTAGGCCTGAGGAGACAGGGGTACAAATCCTCACTCGGCCGTGAAGCTCACTGGGTGACCTCGGACCAGTCGTTGCCTCAGTCTAGCCTACCTCATAGGGTTGTTGGGGATAAATGACGAGGGGGAGAACCATGTACACAAATTTGAGCTTCTTGGATAAAATATGAGGTATAAATGAAATATATAAATAGCATATAGGGTATGAATGACTTTTCTTAAGCCATGTGATATATTGAATTCTGTTAATAAACAACAGGATCAAATTGTAGCCAAAGTTAAGCATTTTACATGGAAGAAAGGGTTGCTTCAATTCTTCCATCAAAACTCACTTGGTCAAGGGGTCTGCAACCCCGGCTTCCGGAGCCGCCATTGTGGCTCTTTTACACTTTGCCACGGCTCCGGGGCGGATACTAAGCGAGGGGAGGAGGCGCATTGTGTGCCCGCGACACTCCCCACGTGGCGGGCTCGCTGTACTGGCTGTGACGTCGCATGGGGGCGGTGCGTGTGTTAGTCATGGCACCGTCCCAACGTCATCTTCCCGCCGCTGTTCAGATCGTGGCTCCGGAGATATATTTTTTTTTTAAATGTCGGCAATGGTTTGGCGGCTCCAGTTTTTTCCCCTTCCAAAAATGGGTCCAAGTGGCTCTTTTTGTCTTAAAGGTTGGCAGGACCCCTGCACTAGGTCTTAATCTTAACTCAGAAACCTTTCTTGATGCCTTCAGTAGCTTCTATGGCTTCAAAACCATAATTGACACAAAAAGCAGTAGCACTGGTTTGTTTGTTTTTTTAAAAAGGGAAACTATCAGTGTTTGCTCTCTAAATTTGTTGCAAGATCAGGAAGAACGTAGGGTTTTTTTAAACAACATGCTGACATCCCTATTTTTTAATTCAGAGTTTTGTAACAAAAAAGACATTTGAATACAGCATGCATGCATGCAATTCAGTTCTCAGCAGGTTTTTTTTTTGTAATAATAATAATAAAAAAAATGGTGCTATCAGTAGTTTGATTTTGCCACCCAACTAAAGCCTAAGTCACTGTTCATGAGAGTATACTCTGTTACTGCTTTGTTGCTGTTTGAAATGTATTTTATTTTCTTTATAAAATAATCGGTAATCTTTAAAATTGATTTTTGATGGTTTGAGGCGTTGCGCCACAAAAGTAATGAGCACTAATGTCAATGATATTGGACAGAAATTCATTTTAGCTTTATTTCGTGTCCAGTGCAATTCTGCTAAGCCTTGAACCGACGAAGCCCTGTTATTAACTTGCTGGTAACCTAACACTTGGGAACAGCAAACAGAAGTGATAAAAGCACAGGTTGGTCAGCACCTCAAGGCTACCTTCTTCCCCCCCCCTCCTCGTTCCCTGCCCCCACCCCAATAGCTATAATTCAATTTCCAATTTTATTTTGCATTAGGCTCGTTATTTTACCGTTATTCTCTTTTCTGCTTAACAGTGCCATCTGGAGGTTATGAAAGAAGTGAAGGGACCAGAAATAATAAATCAGAAAGACGCCCCTTAAACAACAGGTACAGGAACTTGGCAGCGCAAACATGTCGATGCTGAGTCAACCTGTGAACTAAAATATGGGTTTTGTTCACCCACATGCCCTAAAATCATCTTTCCCCCAAGCTTTTTATTGTGAAATAAACCGTGGGGCTCCGATATTTTTTGCATTAAGAGGGTCTACTACTTGAAATGTATATAGTAAGCCCCGGGGGTTATGTTCTGGGAATCATGCCTAATGTCAAAATCACCTTAAAAGACCTTGGGTGCAATAGTGTGAAGGACTGCCAAAGTCTTTTTTCCTGGATACCTGTGCCCTATTTTTATTATTATTGCCAGGCGCATAAATCTGAATGTGCACAAGTTAAATGCTGGGATAGCTCAGTCAGTAAAGCATCACTCTTAATCTTAGGGTCACAGGTTCTAGGGCTGGGCGATATCTGGTTTTCAACATTGTGATATATCACCAACTAAACATCAGGATATACCGATATATCACAATGTCTGAATGAAGGATGGAGTTATGTTGAGGCATTGGCTGGCTTCAGAGTTTTTCCCCACATTGTGATTTTTGCTTAGCGGGTACACACACACACACACACACACACACACACACACACACCATGTTCAAAAATTATGAAACCAGCATCAGAGTATAGACTTCAAACCAGTTTTGGGTAATATATGATGCCCAGCACTAGGGGGTTCGAGCCCCACATTGGGCAAAAGATTCCTGTATTGTAGGGGGCTGGACTAGATGACCCTTGGGTCCCTTACAACTCTACAATTCTAGGATTATAAGTTGCAGGCTTGCTGCAGAACTAACCACAAGTAGATGTAAATGTCTTGCTTGCCTGCCTCATATCTTGAGAGGAACACCAGCACATAAGAGAAGGGGTTCTGCATGCATGCTACTGTAGGCACATCTGAGGGGAGATCCAGACCCAGTCAGGACCTCCCCTTTGCCTGGAGGGTCTCTACATGTATAGCCCGCCTTTGGCAGGGAGAAATCCCCACCCTTTATATCAGCAGTGAGGGTTAGTAGGGATAGCCAACACAGTCATTATCCTTCTGCATTCTATCAGCAAAAAAGGGGGTTGTCTAAACTGTGGTCTAAGCCACTGAGCCCCTTGGGCTTGCCGATCAAAAGGTTGGTGGTTCAAATCCTCACAACGGAATGAGCTCCCATTGCTCTGTCCCAACTCCTGCCAACCTAGCAGTTCGAAAGCACACCAGTGCAAGTAGATAACTAGGTACCACTGCAGCAGGAAGGTAAATGGTGTTTCCGTGCACTCTGGTTTCTGTCATGGTGTTCCGTTGCGCCAGAAGCGGTTTAGTCATACTAGCCACATGACCCGGAAAGCTGTCTGTGGACAAATGCCAGCTCCCTCGGCCTGAAAGAGAGACGAGCACCACACCCCATAGTTGCCTTTGACTGGACTCAACTGTCCAGGGGTCCTTTGCCTTTTTTTTTTTTTAACTTGGCTGACAGGAGCAGGGTATCTTTCAAGGAAAACACCCCAGGGCAAGAGACAGGGAGAAAGAGGGCTAAATTTTCACACTGCAGTTTGACGTTACCAGCCAAATCCAAAATGGCAACACCTGCAGAGCACCTGAATTTACAGAACAACAAATGGATTTATATGAGGCTTCAATGCTCTTATTAAAGTGGGATACAATCGAAGGGTTTTACATTTTCGTACACACCTGTATGGACCCATGAAGGGCCTGAGGCCTGCTTAGTGGCCGCACTCTTCCCTACCTAGTGGTGGAAGGGAAGACCAGTCTGTGCATGCTCAGAGGCACACTCTGTTGCTTCTTATATTTGTGGGTCAAGATCCTGGCTCACATGAAGCTTGGAGCATTTGCATACAAAGAGGCTTTTGAAG